GATTTATCCTCAAACCAGGTATTCGTATATCTATGATAATAATATAAGGTATTATGAATTATGATGACTACATGATAACTACACTAATTGATTAACCATGCCTTATGTAAAATGCGTCTTAATTGAAAAATCAAATATTTGTTTCAAAATAGAATATATGACAATATTTAAATATAATATATCCTAGACTGACAAATCATCTCCGTTCATTCATTTAGTACTCTTTGTTTTAAAATATCACAATTTCTTTATTCAAAGCAATAAACATGGCAATTTGATGCATTCTTTTACCTCATATTCTTGAATAACTTGCGCATTTGTAAAACATTTTGGACCTTGCCTAAAACAAATTGCTTCAGGCCTTGCTCCACCTTATGGCTCTGTATGTAGTGTATATTGTTTATTCATGAAATTAATCGCAATAAACCAATGGTCTGTAGTTATTAAATAAGAAATAATGTGTTAAATTKAATTCAACTACCTTGTAGRTTAGTTAATGTTACTAGTATATAAATAATAAAATGTAATCCAAATATTATTGAAACCATCATAAATTTGAAATTGGATTAAATTGCTATACTTTACTATCTAGTTTGCTATAAAAAGAGGTAACCCTAGATCCATTATCAGACTCTGTAATATAACAGATTGAATTATAAATGAACAGGTCAGGGCAAAAAAAGGTAGAAGCTCCACTGATGTTACGTAATTGGATATCTTTTGTCATATTTTAATTTAATTGTATTTATTTCTTATGTAGGTATTTGAAGCTGTTATTAATTGGGTAAAATATGATTTGAATCAAAGAAAAGATTTTTTGCCAAATTTAATGGAACACGTACGTTTGCCATTAATAGCATCAAAACCAGATGTATTAAAAAATATAGTTGAAGAACCTCTTCTTAAAAATAATCCTGAATGTAAATGTTATTTTTATAAATATGCCTTCATTATGAATTTATGTATTCAATATTATTTATTATTATGATTATTATAATTTTGTTAGGTAACAAATTTGTATTAGAAGCTTTAAATTTTCATTTACAAAAGTCAATTCAGCATTTCATCATTTCTCATTCAATTCGTTGTAAACCTAGACAGTTCGATAGTTTAAAAAAAGTATGATTCTATTTTAATTTATTTATTATTGCAATTATTTAATYCATTTAATTATATTAGATCATTCTAACATTCAATTGGTCTGATACAATGCCAAAGTGTTATACAGAATGGTATGATCCAGCGACCAACTTGCGGAGGAGCGCACCAGAAATGAAAGATAGTCGTAGGAAATCGGGTGTAGGTGTCATAAGAGATCAATTTGTTTTTGTTCTGGGAGGGGTGAATAGCTCAAGTGCTCAATCTGTTAATATGCTTGATGTATCTTCACCCTCACCATGCTGGGTACCGATGGTCAACATGTTAGTTAGTCGAGCATATTTAGGAGTTGGTGTTTTAAACGATTGTATATATGCAGTAAGTTATACCAATAGAATACACATCTTATATTATACATATACATATATATATACAGGGTGTCCCACAGAGATCTGACATTCTGACAAATGAAATAAATTTTGTTCTAATAAATATTTTTTWAAAATTTCTTTTAAATATAATTCATAGACACTTGCGCTACATTTTTTATTTTTTAATACTGAAAATAAAAAACTTAAAATTGATAAAAAAAATTTTCGAAATATTCAATATAGCCAATTTGTAAATCTGATTTTTAGAAAAATTGATATGGTAAAAACACTTATTTAAGTCAAATGGCTGAATTTTTGCAATTTTTTTAAATATCAATATTTCCGTTAAGTAAATTACGATCTAGTTTATGTTAGAAACCTTGTAATTTCAAATAATAATAAAGTTTTTTTTAAATATTTTATAAGAACATTTTTAAATAAGTGCATGTTAAAATTATTTTTTTTATTGTATTTATTTTAATAATATGTGATGTATAAACTATAAATTATTATAATTTACCTAACGAAAATATTGATATTTAAAATTTTTTTAAAAAATCAGCCTTTTGGCTTAAATAAGTGTTTTTACCGTATACATTTTTCTGAAAATCAAATTTACAAATTGGCTATATTGAATATTTTGAAAAAATTTTTATCAATTTTAAGTTTTTTATTTTCAGTATTAAATAATAAAAAATAAAAAATGTAGCGCAAGTGTCTATGGATTATATTTAAAAGTAATTTTTTTTAAATATTGATTAGAACAAAAGTTATTTMATTTGTCAGAATGTCAGATCTCTGTGGGACACCCTGTATATATAGGCATTATATTCATWATATTCAATTCTAGGTTGGTGGATTTCATGGTTTTGTCTCAGTAAATAGTGTAGAGGTCTTTGATTCCAGTATTCAAAAATGGAGAATGGTAACTAGTATGACGACTAATAGAAGTCTTTTGGGTGTTGGTGTACTCAATGATCATTTATATGCAGTATGTAAATATTTTGTTTTTTTTTTTTTTTATCTTAAAATTGTACTTGATACATTTCATTTACTTCTGTAGATAGGAGGCTTTGATGGTTATGATAGCTTGAAGTCTGTTGAATGTTATGATCCCTTACTTGACACATGGACACCAGTTGCAGAACTATCTGTATGTCGCAACAGTGTTAGTATTGGGGTCTTGGACGGAGTAATATATGCTATCGGTGGTATTGATGGATCGGTGAATCTTAAAAGTGTTGAGGCATACAGACCAAGTGATGGAGTATGGTCTTTCATTGCTGATATGCATTTATGTCGAAACAATTCTGGTGGTGACTATTAATAATTTGATAATAAAAAATATTGCAATTAAATAACTTTTTTATAGGAGTTGTGTCATTAGATGGTTTATTATATGTTATTGGTGGAGAATCTGAAGAATCAGTTTTTGATACTATAGAAGTGTACAACCCAAAAACGAATACCTGGTCTTTGAGAAAATTGTCAAGAAACAACAATAATGTTGCTGACATCAAAGTTCATTGTGGAGTAGTCGTTAATAGACCACCATATTTAACTAATTAATATTTTATGCATTATGTTCTATTTTTCTCATTATATTACATATTTATTTATGTATAATTTATAGGTAACCATTTATTTATTTTATAATTTTTTGATTTTGTGAGTGTGCAATAAAAAGGTTTTTTT